CTAGGGAAAGTGTTGGGAAAATAAGTGTTGGTCTTCAAGTGAATTACGGAGGGGAGGGGCTGCCTCCACTATTCCAGCACCATTTCAACTTCAACATTTCAACATCATCAAATCTAAAAGATACCAAAAACAATTTAGTCCAATCAACGTAAGCTAAATATGATGTGGCTGTCCATGGTTGTGATTTGTGTGTGTGTGTATGTGTGTGTGTGTGTGTGTTCGTGCAAGTAGAAAAAACATGTTGACTCACCCTACTTGTAGAGAAACGTCAATGCCATCCTCCTCTCTGTCATGTTGACGAAACGGTCTATGACTCTGTCATACAGTACACGCTTTTATTTTGTGTTGTCCTAGGGTACCTGGCGAAAACTTCCTTTCATTGGCAACGTTAGCTACTTAACATTAGCCTTCTACATCTAGCTACATATTGAACTTCCATCCTCTCAGTCCAGGGGCACAATGTACTGTATTTTATGGTTGGATCAGAATCGCCGTTATAATCATTGGCCAGTCCGGAGAATTAAGTAAAAATTACACCCTCCATCCATGGCTAATTTAGGAAAGGGACAATTTTTGCTAGCTAGCTAGCCACCAGAGGACAACAACGAGATGCAACAATTCAAGCTGTTTCTATCAATTATGTATTTCTCTGATAGGAGTGAAGCCAAATCCAAACTGGCTTCTGTTGACACTTGTTTTTAATGCTCCAGGACCATTCACAGTTGAGATCACTCAGTTTAGCTCAATGCTGATTGGCTATTATTTTATACTTTTTTTTATCAAGGGAGGCCAAATGCTCATTGGCTTCACTTGCTACATGTCCCATGTGGCTCAGTTGGTAGGGCATGGTGATTGCAACGCCAGGGTTGTGGGTTCGATTCCCACGGGAGACCAGTACTAAAATGTATACACTCATAGCTGTAAATTGCTCTGCATTAGAGCGTTTGCTAAATGACTAAAATGTAAATAATGTCATACTATTTATGACCAGATACATGGCTGACAGAGGGGCGCTGTTTCGCTCGCTCGGATGCTTTCTCCAGTATGATACATTAAGCGAATTGAAGGAAAATGATGAAACACAGAAAGATAAATAATTATTATAATAATTTTTTTCTTGGTACATTTATTTAGGGAAGCCTGGTTTACCTTAGCATCCATGAATACACGCCTCTGGTTGGTGACTGTAACTGTGCTGCTGGCAACAATTTAATAACCTTTTTTTGTCAGTAACGTTTACTGACACCGGTCATATTCAACGGGTGTTGCGCGTTTGTAAATTCATCAGTTATTCTGAGCACTGGCACACACAATAATAATATAATATGCCATTTAGCAGACGCTTTTATCCAAAGCGACGTACAGTCATGTGTGCATACATCTTAGTGTATGGGTGGTCCCGGGGATCGAACCCACTACCCTGGCGTTACAAGCGCCGTGCTCTACCAGCTGAGCTACAGAGGACCACAATCAGACGAGAGTGCCCTGAAATCAGAGTAGATAGCCAGAGTGAATTTACAAATGCACCCATAAACAGATTTGAACTCTTACACTAGCGGTCGGGTCGGGAAGGGAACCGGCGAGGGTGCGGTTAGAGCACGTAGGTTACCTGGCCTGTCTAACACCTCCTGCGGCCTCCTCTCCTGCGATGCCTGGACTGGACACCCTGGGACGGCAGCGCCTACAGACAGGGCGACTGGTGGATTGTCTGCGTCTTCTGGGCATTGTGATTGATAGGCTAGGTTAGACTATGAATGACTTTGAGACTGGCAAGGCGTCTGTTATGTTGGGGTGGTGACGTCATAGTGGGGATAAATGATTATGCAATAACTTCCATGCCTTTATAAAACACAAAACCGGGAAAATACACAAAAATACAAAACACAGCAAAATATAAAGTGGCCCCGGATGTAAGAGCCTAAAATGAAGAAAATCGGCCCAACATTCTAGGAGGAGATAGCCCCTCAGCTAGAATCCTTAGCGTAATATAGGAAATAGCCTAAAGCTATGGCTGCAGCAGACAGCCCTAAAGGAGGCAATGCAAAGTCAACAGCCACTGCAAAAAAACTAAAACTAATTTAAAAAACTTTGCCATAAGACCATAAGTAGAAACCCATTACATATCCATATAGAACAAATACAGCCATTTAGTCTCGACAAGCTTTCATGCATTGTATATTTGTACATTTTTGAAATAGTGAAATAAGCTATTTTGCTTCCTGTTTAAGAATGATACATATCCAGAATAGTGGGATTTCACTGTGAAGCTAATATTGGATTGCATTAGGACTGCACATGTTTTATTTCCAACGAGCAGGCTTGCGTTGTGAAAAATTCATACAACTATAACACCCGTGCATATTATTAAATGACACTGATGTTCAACATAGCTTGGTTTTAAATTCACCTTATGTACTGATAACAAATATTGATTGGCTATATGATGCAATACAACTACATTAGAAGTCCTACTTCATCCTAGAAACAAACAAAACCAGAACCGTGGGAAAACCTCAACACTTGTCATTTTGTATAAATATGAACCCTTTTACTGGTTTTCCTGTATCTGTGAATGAATCCTTCGAACACACTCCATTGTACAAAAGAAGTCAAGTTTCAAGTTGTATTAGTCATTTGTACAGGATACACATGGTCCGATAAAATACTTACTTGCAGGTTCCTTCTCGACAATGCAACAACAATAAGAAATAGTAAAATATATTAAAAATACAAACAAAGTAAATGGCTCAGTAGAATGGAATAAACATTTGAGCATCCCAATACTCCTTTGGTTTCACTGCCTTCTGGCACAACACAACTCTTAGGTTGGACAGGATATGCCTATGGCCAATGAGATAGGCCTACAGATGTAGCCCCACCCACATCAACGTCAATGAGAAATATACCCAATTCCGTTATTTTCTCTTATCATTATATTCTTCGAAAAACAGTTTTTTAAATGCAATATGACATCTTCCAATTTAAAAAGAAAACAACTAATTTTTTTTTGTATTTCGGATTTGAAGACATAAAAATGAAAATAAATGAATTCGTACTTGGAAAAATATTTTGTCTGCTACTGTTATCAAATTTGGAAATAAGTGGAAAGGTGGGAAATCAAAGCATTTAGCATTTGATCAGTTTTGGCTTTAAAATTGGCAAAAGGAAAAATAGGCCTTTTTTTATTCTTGTTTTGGTATTCCTCTTGTTTGGCCTTGCCGAGATTAAAGGAAATATGAATTATCCATAAGCACACGGACCGATTTGAATGGAGAAACGCATTGACCAACAGATAGCTTCGCGTGCGGAAAGAAACGTGAGGATACTTTTTCATTCCCACAGTTTAGGATATGTTGTCCAAATAATAAGTACCAGACAGTATCTTCACTTTGACCTTACATTGGGGTACATTTTCTTGTAGCTAAATGATGAATTACTGAATAATTAAAAAGGGTATCAAGACGTGATATTATTGGAGCTGTCCTTGGTGCTGATTGTTTGTCAACAGCACGTTTTAATGAATAATATTTCATTCTATATGCATTTTTTATCCTATGCAATGATTATTAATATTATTACAGAAATCTATAGGTAATTCTGAAATAATATCAGCAACCCTTCAGCAGAATTCTGTACTGAAAACACCTTCATTTTCTAATGAGACTGAGAATCACTTCAAACACTGAATCTCTTATGTCTCTTATCTAATATTCCTGACTGGGATCTTTTTTCTACTACTCTACAAAAAAGTTTTGGACAGAGAATAATGTCCTGGTTTTTCACCTCCAATGGATCTCTGCATAGGTAGTCCATAACTCAGGCTGAACAAAGAGAAGACCGAAGTGAGGCAGGCAGAGAAATGTGGGCTCCTTATAGACCGACCATATGATGCAGAGGGTGAACCGAAGTCCTCACGAGGAGGGATGCCAAGCCTCACTCAGTCAGTGCTGATTCAGTCAGATCGTGATTCATGGCATCTTGCTGTTAAATGCCAGGTCCAAGGACAGTCTGAGCTCCACACAAAAGCCCCATTGCCTCTGCAAAGGAGGGAAACTTTCTCTCTGAGACTTGGGTAAGAGATGCTTAATGTCATTAATGTATTTGTCATTTATTTATGAACATGCTAGTAGTCTGACGATTCTGCCCTAGTGTCATGCTGCATCTTGGTTTGCATTAAGTGCAAGTAACTTATGTTATTTAAAGATCAGAAGTATTTTTGTTGCTATGTTATGAAAATATGCAATACATCCCCTGAACATGAGTCAGGTGATGTAAAAACCAGCAATCACTTAAAGTTATATTATGGAAAATGAAGATTTCTTTTTAACCAATGTGACCACTTATTCCCATAGATAATTGTTCCTCTGTGTCAGTGGGGGGAATACTGAACTGCTCATTAGGATGCTTTGAACAGGAACTGAACTGACATAATTACTGGGGAGATTTAGCAGAGGAGCGCCTCCACTTGTATAATCAACTATTTTTCAGGGGTTCTTCACAACAAGATCTCATTAGTGTTCAGTGCTGTTCACCCTTTTTGGAGGGAAAGTTATCATTTCATCTAATCTCGATCCCATCCCTCATTTAAAGCATGTTATGTATAGATTGAAAAATGCAAAGTTCACAAATAAATGTGGGCTTTTGGGTCTCATATCCACTCTAAAAATATTTTCATCATACTGCAGAGATGCCATAAATTAAAGGCTTCTAAACATTTGAAATTCAAATTTACTGGGCTTCTGCTCAAAATTCAAATTACCACCCAGGATAATCTCTCTCCCACCAGTTTCTAAACAAGGTATAATCATTTTTTAAATCTAAATAAAGTAATAATGCAACAGCAGATTACATGACTTCAATGCAATGTGGTCACACATACAGCAGCACATTATTGTACATATTTTACTTGTACACATAACATTTGGTTTCACCTCTTTCTGCTATGTTCCCCAAAGTTGTAGCCTATTCTGCATCGGTGCTGTAACTGTCCTCCTCAGCTGATGGTTTTGCAGCAATACCCCCCACCAGCAGAGGTAACTGAAGGCCCTGACACAGAGGAGCAGTATGATGACCACAGGCAGGAGATATATGGCTGGAGGAAGCTCTGCCTCTACCTGCTGGCACTGCTCCTGCTCTCTACGCTGCTGGTCAACATTGCCCTGACCGTCTGGATCCTCAGGGTCTCCTGTCTCAACACAGTGAGTGCATCCCAATACTATTTTCTCGATTCCTCTCTTCTCACCGCCTCAAATGTCAGGGGTACCAAGAAGAGCATGGGGGGGGGGGGGGGGGATCTGAGGTTCTTCCTCCAATACTATTCTCGCTTCCCTCTGATGTTTTGAGGAGGAGGCCAGGGGAGAGGATGCATGGAATCAAGTTAAATACTTCTGAGATTCACACAGTGAGTACATGCTCTGTCTGATCTGCTCAGTTCAGTATCACTGGGTTACAGTGATAAAACTGTCACTTTATTAGTACAAGAGCGGTTGCTTATTACTGGACATCCTGGATGAGAGCCTGTCTTGAAATAGGTTTGAGGATTGTCCCCCCCCTCTCATTTTACAAATGGCTTTATCTACAATGAAACACAGGTACTCATTTGTACACCTTTGTTTAATTAAAGACCGTCGAGGCATGTTGGCTGCATCACAAAACACTTCAGAGGTACGATAACAGAACTTTAACTTCTCTGGAGGAGAATATCGGCATAGCACAACAACAAGCGAGAAAGAATGACCAAACAGAGTTTGTATTAAAAGTTGATTTCCTCCTGACGATTTTAGGAAGGAATGGGGCAGCTGAGAATAACATCGGATCGGGTGAGGCTTGATGGAGTGTCCGAGTTCCTCTTCTCTCTTTATGCCCAAGAGATACACTCCATACAGGTAAACTAAGTCAAGTGGTTTACATTGAACATTTACATGTCCTCCTGTTTCCTTGAATTATCTGCTTACGTCATCAGAGTGACACTGCACAAAAATGCTGTTCTCTTGCTTCACAGGACACCTCCCTTCTTATCCATTCTGAGTCCCAGAATGTCACACTCCAAGCCTGCAATGGGAAAGGAGGTGTGTTAGGTAGCCTTACTCTGGGTAAGAGTCCACCTTTGAGTGACGGAGTTAAGAACGTACCGTAAGTTCACTCCACAGCTAGCTTGACAGAGCCATCCAATTGGTACCTTTTGGGTGTCTCAAACCATTGGAACGTTGTCAAGGAGGGCGGTCACGTGTTGGGAAAGCAGAGGTCCTGAGTTCGAGCTAGGTGTGAGCCGAATATGGGGGAGTGGTACTTGCTAAGCAAGCAACGTGACATTTGCTACATCTTTAATAACAATTGGATTTATAGTGGCTTGCAAAAGTATTCACCCCCCTTGGCATTTTTCCTATTTTGTTGCCTTACAACCTGGAATTAACATAGATTTTGGGGGGGGGGTTGTATTTTTTGATTTACACAACATGGCTACCACTTTGAAGATGCAAAATATTTTCTATTGTGAAACAAACAAGAAATAAGACAAAAAAACGTGCCCCCCCCCCCCCCCCAAAGTCAATACTTTGTAGAGCCACCTTTTGCAGCAATTACAGCTGCAAGTCTCTTGGGGTATGTCTCTATAAACTTGGCACATCTAGCCAATGGGATTTTTGCCCATTCTTCAAGGCAAAACTTCTCCAGCTCATTCAAGTTGGATGGGTTCCGCTGGTGTACATTGTCCTGCTGGAAGGTGAACCTTCGTCCCAGTCTCAAATCTCTGGAAGACTGAAACAGGTTTCCCTCAAGAATTTCCCTGTATTTAGCGCCATCCATCATTCCTTCAATTCTGACCAGTTTCCCAGTCCCTGCCGATGAAAAACATCCCCACAGCATGATGCTGCCACCACCATGCTTCACTGTGGGGAGGGTTTTCTCGGGGTGATGAGAGGTGTTGGGTTTGCGCCAGACATAGCGTTTTCCTTGATGGCCAAAAAGCTCAATTTTAGTCTCATCTGACCAGAGTACCTTCTTCCATATGTTTGGGGTGTCTCCCACATGGCTTTTGGCGAACACCAAATGTGTTTGCTTATTTTTTCTGTAAGCAATGGCTTTTTTCTGGCCACTCTTCTGTAAAGCCCAGCTCTATGGAGTGTATGGCATAAAGTGGTCCTATGGACAGATACTCCAATCTCCGCTGTGGAGCTTTGCAGCTCCTTCAGGGTTATCTTTGGTCTCTTTGTTGCCTCTCTGATTAATGCCCTCCTTGCCTGGTCTGTGAGTTTTGGTGGGCGGCCTTCTCTTGGCAGGTTTGTTGTGGTGCCATATTCTTTCAATTTTTTAATAATGGATTTAATGGTGCCCCTTGGGATGTTCAAAGTTTCTGATATTTTTTATAACCCAACCCTGATCTGTACTTCTCCACAACTTTGTCCCTGACCTGTTTGGAGAGCTCCTTGGTCTTCATGGTGTCGCTTGCTTGGTGGTGCCCCTTGCTTAGTGGTGTTGCAGACTCTGGGGCCTTTCAGAACAGGTGTGTATATATACTGACAGATCATGTGACACTTAGATTGCACACAGGTGGACTTTATTTAACTAATTATGTGACTTCTGAAGGTAATTGGTTGCACCAGATCTTATTTAGGGGCTTCATAGCAAAGGGGGTGAATACATATGCACGCACCACTTTTCAGTTATTTATTATTTAGAATTTTTTGAAACAAGTTATTTTTTTCATTTCACTTCACCAATTTGGACTATTTTGTGTATGTCCATTACATGAAATCCAAATAAAAATCAATTTAAATTACAGGCTATAATGCAACAAAATAGGAAAAACTTCAAGGGGGTTTAATACTTTTGCAAGGCACTGTATATAGTGCTTTTATTTGACCCAAAGGCGCTTCCAAGGAATCAAATCCAAAATGAGTATATACACTGAACAAAAATATAAACGCAACATGTAAAGTATTGGTCCCATGTTTCATGAGCTGAAATAAAAGATCCCCAACATTTCTCTCAAATGTTGTGCACAAATTTGTTTACATCCCTGTTAGTGAGCATTTCTCCTTTGCCAACATACTGTAATCCATCCACCTGACAGGAGTGGCATATCAAGAAGCTGATTAAACAGCATGATCATTACACAGGGGCACCCTGTGTTGGGGACAATAAAAGGCCACTCTAAAATGTGCAGTTTTGTCACACAACACAATGCTACAGATGTCTCAAGTTTTGAGGGAGCGTGCAATTGGCATGCTGACTGCAGGAATGTCCACCAGAGCTGTTGCCAGGGAATTTAATGCTCATTTCTCTACCATAAGCCGCCTCCTAGAGAATTTGGCAGTGCGTCCAACCGGTCTCACAACCGCAGACCACGTGTATGGCGTCATTTGGGCAAGCGGTTTGTGAACAGAGTGCCCCATAGTGGCGGTGTGGTTATGGTATGGGCAGGAATAAGCTACGGACAATGAACACAATTGCATTTTATCGATGACAATTTGAATGCACAGAGATACCATGATGAGATCCTGAGGCCCATTGTCGTGCCATTCATCTGCTGCCATCACCTCATGTTTCAGCATGATAATGCACGGCCCCATATCGCAAGGATCTGTACACAATTCCTGGAAGCTGAAAATGTCAAATTTCTTCCATGGCCTTCATACTCCCCAGACATGTCACCCAGTGAGCATGTTTGGGATGCTCTGGATCGATGTGTACGGCATCGTGTTCCAGTTCCTGCCAATATCCAGCAACTTCGCACAACCATTGAAGAGGAGTGGGACAACATTCCACAGGCCACAATCAACAGCCTGATCAACTCTATGCGAAGGAGATGTGTCGCACTGAATGAGGCAATTGATGATCACACCAGATACTGACTGGTTTTCTGATCCACGCCCCTACCTTTTTTTGAGGTATATGTGACCAACAGACGCATATCTTTTTTCACAGTCATGTGAAATCCATAGATTAAGGCCTAATTCATTTATTTAAATTGACTTATATGAACTGTATGTAACTCAGTAAAATCTTTGAAATTCTTGCATGTTGCGTTTATATTTTTGTTCAGTATATATTTTTACTTTCCAAATGACACTTTTGGGGTTCAATAGATGACTGTGATATGAACTGTGAGCTGTGAGTTTCTCTGTGGCTCTGATAAGATGCAGACCTACTGGACTTCTAAATGGATTTATGAGAAATGGACATATCAATAAAGGCTAGGGGCAACTCTGAAGAATCAGAAAGGATAGCTTTAATGTATTCAAATCAAAATGCCATGGATGGGATGCCTCCACATGAGCCCTAAAAAATATGGGCTCATATATTAAATGTATGATGAATACTTTATTTCCCTACATTTGATGGCTATTATAAAGACCCTGTGTGTGTTTGACTAAAGCCCTAAAATGTACCCTTATTCATACCTTTCATTAACACTCTGAAATTCTGGCACAATTCCATATAATAAAATATTTAAAATATAAGAGGGTGAGAGCAGATGTCAACAGTAATTATCTCCCAATTTAATGTATTCGTGATCATTGCACTTTAAAATGGCAGTGTCCTCTCCTTGTACTATATGCCTCATGAGTGAAATATAAATGTGTTTCGGTAATGACCCTCATTAAGCTTACCGTATACTTCCCAGTCGAAACAGTTTGTGCATATGTCACATTTTGGTTCATTTTGGTCTTCTGCAGGGTTTTTTTGGCTGTTTGTGCACACACATTTTTTTCGTGAGGCAAGTCGGAATTCAGTAGCTGAAGACTACGCCCCTTCATCTGTGATTGGTCAACAGTACTACTCCTAGTAGGAGTGGGAACTGTTGACGGGAAGTGTTTGTTGTCATTCAACGAGAGACGACTAGTTTTCATGCACATTTTTTCACTTGAGAAATACTGCACCAAATATGTTAGATGTAAAATTACGCGACTAAGACCACTTTCTTGTTTTATCTCAGATTTATTTGGACTATTTTTAGGAAGTGTATACTGGCTATGTTGTTGCTACGGTGCCTTAAGTGGGACAAACAATAATATTGTCGCTTCTTTCTCGTTTTTCAAGCAAAGGTCTTTTAAGGGAGTATGTGAGCCACAGACGTTCGCTTCGCCTAGCCGAGATATGCTAAGAGCAAACCGAACCTAAGTATGCGGACGCCTTTAGCCAACTCAATGGATCCCATTTATGAAGCACCTTTCGTTTAAGAATCTTTATGTGTTTTTACATATTGGGGTTAACTCACATCTCCCACTACTTAATGTATGTATATGTGGGTGACAGAACATTTCTGTTCTGTTGCATCAAAATGCTATGTGGGTAGATGTCTAGGGAACATTTGAACTCAAACCACTGTGTGCATCTATTTACTTAAAAGTGTTAAATGTCTGTGTTTTAATCACTTTGATAATATAATTGATTATTTGTCTTTAGGTCCAAAGATCATGGAAACCGTAGGACAACATTTTGAGGTGATGTCGAGCACTGGGAAATTGCTATTTTCAGCTGGTACAGAACAGGTGGTTGTTGGAGCAGATAAACTAACAATTACAGGTATGTAGACATTTCACACTATTCAGAGAGACAGTCCAACTTTGTTGAATCATAAAACATCATATGCTAGTTTTGTCTGATGTAACTAAGGGATGTGGCAATACATACTGTATCTGCATACTGATTCACATGTTACTATAAGAACATAATCTAAATTGGGCAGTGCTCCTACATTTGTGTTCTACAGGGTCTGATGGTGCTTATTGTGAACATTCCATAGAGACATCCCTGGTCAGGGCAGAGCCTTCCAAGGACTTGAGGTAACTTTGAAACTTTGAAACCTAATGGGAGTTTTTCCTGATCATAGTGGAGAAAGGCCTTTGCTTTTCTTGTATTGTTAAATTAGACTTATGATAATATTGTAATCTATTTGTTGTAACAGAAATTATCCCACCTTTGGTAAACACATACCTTAAGTGATTAATGAGAATTGGACATTTTACAATTACCATATCTATCACACAGCAGGGCAACATTTCCCAAGACGTCTTCTCTCCTCAATATAAATGTCCCAGGCTGCAGCCCAGGTGTAACAGGAACAACAGTCCCCTGCGCTGGGGGTTCTGAGCAGCATGTGTCTCCTGTGCCATTGTTATCTCTCCCTCTAGCTTGGTTCCCCCAGTGTGTGGCCCTCAGAATGCACAGTGCTCTGCTCCTTCTCTCCCTCAGCATACAAAGTGTCCTACCTTATAACGAATCCTAATCCTAATGCCACACACTCCATGTGCTGCCAGTGGGTGGGAGTAAAGACCTCTGTTCTCTTGTGTACATGAGTGGGCAGACCAATAAGTTGGGATTTATGTATTCTGAGGCTTTACTGTTGATGTAAAAAGATCACGTAATGCTTTTGTAGAAATAAGGAAATCCAATTTACATATTTAATTAAGATAAGAGGTATCAGAGGGGTATTAAGCTGGTTTCTGATTTGGAGGGATCCAGGGGTCTCATAGCAACAGCTTGGAGATGCTGGGTATAAATAGCCCTGTCATTGGCTCATATTGTTAGGTGAAAACCCGAGTGAAGTTGCCCACAGTTCTTCCAGCCTCTGCCAACTAATGCAATTCAAACATGTTCTGAATTCTAATTGATAACATAATTGAATTAATTTTCATGTAGAATTAATAAATGTTCTAAACTGGTAATGTTTGGATTTTCTGCTACCTAAAGGCTTATCGTTGTACATGCAAATAATTAATAAGTCCTATTCCACCTTTAAGTGTGAAGTATGCACCACTTGTGTCCATTATCTTATATATTTTACTGTATACTCTGTCTTTCTGTGTGGTCAGGCTAGAGGCCCCCACCCGTTCCCTCCACCTGGATGCTCCAAAGGGAGTCCATATCAAAGCAGTGTCCGGCAGTGCCCAGGCCGTGTCCAGAATGGACATCTCTCTACTCTCTATGGATGGAGTGGTAAGAAAGAGGCTGGGGGTAGAACAACTAAATCTAGGATAGCATACATGCCAACACTTAACTTCAGTGTCCTGATTACAATACTTATTACACTGTATTTACGAATGTATTTGCATTGGAATAAGGACACTGTAAAGCAGTGTTTCCAAATATATTTCTTATTATTAGCAACAACAAAAAAACATCAACTGTCTTCTTTTAATTCAATGTGCCCAAACGAATAATGAATGGTGCATCATAGTGTGTAGGCTATCAGTTTAAATTATTTCCCCCTCTTTCTGCAGTTGATTCTGGATGCTGAGATGGTGCGGCTGCCCAGGTTACCTCTGAGTGGAGAGGGAGAGAGAGGAAGTCCTGGGGAGCAGCTGTATGAAGTGTGTGTGTGTCCTGATGGGAGACTATACCTGTCCAAGGCTGGTCACACTTCCACCTGCCATGACAACAGTCACAAGTGTTAACAGAACACACTCCATTATCTACCTGGGATTGTCTTTATACAGAATATCATCATAGATATACAGTCTCGCCTGAAATGTATGCAAAATGCCTTTTTAGAAAAATGTAAAGAAACATGTACATGCATGGTGATTGACTCTAGTGGCCACTTAAAATGCCACCCAACTCTGCTGCTTGTTTTGTCTGGGAAAAGTTGAATGCATTTGATCATGCAGAGTTTACAGATGTGAAGATTGTTCACAATGTTCAGAGGGATCTTGATGCGCTAGTATCTGGTGACGTCAAGGTAGGCGGCAACATAATTATTTGAAAAAGTAGCCTACCCATGTCTGCGCAAAATACTGACTGGGTATTTAGGAGTGGGACACCATATACTCTAGGAACCCGTTATGGAATAAAGGCTGTTGCCTGCATATGTCAGGTCTGCCAGATATCTACTTCTATTTATGTAGGCCTACTTAATAACTTATATCAATGAAGATTGGACGTATCAGAAGATGGACCATTTCATCGCATTATTATGAGCGTGGGTGGTATGAAAGTACTAGCCTATTGATTCCCATCCAGGTATTGGCAGAAAAATAAAAGTATTACCTAACTCTGAGACAAAATGGTTAACATGGAGTGGAAGCTAAAGAAGATTCTGTCCCTTTTACTGGAGCTGATTATTTTGTGCTATATGGTAAGGCATAATGTTTTTCATTTACACATTTACGAGTGGAGTTTTTCATTTGTTGTAGTGAATCTGAAGTTTGAGTGATGCCCTTGGGCAGTTCATGGAACAGCAGAGGAGGATAGAGAATGCAGGCAGTGTGGTCCTGGACAGGAGCTATCTATAGTGAGTAGTCAAACTTGGTATCTCCTGTCAATATTATTGATACAACCAGTCATGCTATTGTAGAAATATAATGAATGTCTTTCTTGTCACATACTGTGTTCACATACCACATTTATCCTATTTATCCTAACCCATACATAGTATCCTGTTTATGTTTTGAATTAAAAATAAATGCATAGGCTACTATATTTGTGCCAAGTATTCAAACTGTCTTACACAGCATCACACTATGTCTCCCAGAAATATGAATTTCAATCAGACACAGGTGGTTTAAACTCCTGGCAGTCAGACCAGCACAAAGTAAATTACTGTAGCTTTTCAAGCAGCTTCACAAATGTTGATGGTCACTTGCCAAGCCATCCAGTTCCATTGACTGCACCTGAGGAACCCCAGAATATGGGAAGGTTTGTAACATGCCTCTATGCAAGTTGTCTCTCTTTTTCTCTCAGCCACTGTCAGGGAACTTCCAACCCCCACATCACCACCTCCCCATCAGCTGGGTCTCCTGTATATGTGTTAATCCCCACAGGAATGTGTCTTTGGCTACAGGGCGGGTGCCCACTGTGCGCCCTGCAGACCTGCAGGCCGTGTCTATCATGTGCCCACGCCAGCCGCCTCCAAAAGGCTAACTGCACCACCACAGGCAATGCCGTGTGTGGAGACTCACTGCCCGGGTGAGGACAGCTGCTGTCTGAACCTCCCCATTATCTCAGAAGTGTGCACCCATTGTGCCGCTAATGCTGTTGTTTATATTACAGGTTCTATAGGAAAACCAAACGGAGTGGGTTTCAGGACATGAACTGTGTACCCTGTAGAGACACTCCTCTTGCCTATGAGCCTCTCTGTGAGTTGGCCTTTTCATCAATGCAAATTATCTCCCATAGGCAAGATTGCGCTTCAGTCCATGTAGGGTGCATCCCTACCACATGCACACTTAATGTTACTGTACCACTTTTAGATTAATTCAAGAAAATATTATCAGGGAACATGTGAAATGAGCTTTACCGATGTCTGTCTGTTTAGCCATCTTTTTGAGATTGTTTGCCCACACGTCCATTATGTACCAGCCTCAATTCATATTCAGATGTAAAATACTCATTTAGATGATTTTGAGTTACAAAAATGTATTTCAAGAGCATCTGAGAGACCACGTGTTTTGATATTTTCCCACTCCACTTTTGTAGTTGAAATGTGAAATTCTTATGAGACAAATAGGTTATTGTATCCCAGAGTGAGGGTGCTCTCCAAGTGTCTTCTCACAACCTCTCACTACATGCCTCCAGTTGTGATGGAGCGGCATTTTATTCATAGTGACGATTAAAAAAACAAAAACAATGTCTAGGCCAGCACAAGTAAGTTCTTGCATATCCTTTCAACTGAAGAATCTTACTGTAGTTTGTACTTCCAAGCTAACCCCTTGATGATGCCCCGGTGGTATGTACCAAAGGGGTTTTGGCACAGAACAGTGTTATGATTAGATCAGCATGTGACCTTGTTTCAATAGGTTGTCCTCTATCTGAACTGATGAGCAGGAAGGCTTTGGGTAAACAGAGACAACCAGACTCGTGCTGCGTCTTTGGCTCTGAGAAGTCACTATTAAAGAGGACGACTTATGAGAGAGCATTCAATGCCTCACTGAAAGACAAAATATACACATGCCAACATACAGTAGCCTACAGACACATGTACACTCACACACACTGAACCTACATTCAATTACAAATCTGAATCATCCCACACTTAAAAACACACATCTGCATGGCATGCTTTGAGAAAATGGGTGTCGTAACTGTTGTGTGGGTGTGCAGTATTGCACCTAAGTATAAACAGCTTAATGATATATGTCCCCGTGCATGTGTATATGCGTGTTTACAGTGTAGGCAGTAGCAGGGTGAACCTGGTGCCCCTTTCATCCATGGTTTCGTCCAGCCCCAGGGACACAGTCCTGGCTGCGGTCATCTGTAGCGCCCTGGCCTCTGTCCTACTGGCCCTAGTGCTTCTCTGTGCTTCTACTGCAAGAGATAGTTGGAGAAGAAACCTCATGGTAACCCTGCCTCAATCACAGATTCTCCCTCATCCCCCTTGTGCTGACTAAGATTGTCCTCATGTGAATTAAAGTATAATGCAGATATTATGCTGTTTTTATACCATGCCAAATATGTACTGCTACAGTGCCTTGCAAAATTATTCATCCCCCTTGGTGTTTTTCCTATTTTGTTGCATTACTACCTGTCATTTAAATGGCTTTTTATTTGGATTTCATCTAATGGACATACACAGAATAGTCCAAATTGGTGAAGTGAAATGAAAAATACCTTCAGAAGTCACATAATTAGTTAAATAAAGTCCACCTGTGTGCAATCTAAGTGTCACATGATCTGTCAGTATATATACACACCTGTTCTGAAAGGCCCCAGAGTCTGCAACACCACTAAGCAAGGGCACCACCAAGCAAGCGGCACCATGAAGACCAAGGTGCTCTCCAAACAGGTCAGGGACAAAGTTGTGGAGAAGTAACGATCAGGGTTGGGTTATAAAAAATTTAATAAAACTTTGAACATCCGACGGAGCACCATTAAATCCATTATTAAAAAATGGAAAGAATATGGCACCACAACAAACCTGCCAAGAGAGGGCCGCCCACCAAAACTCACGGACCAGGCAAGGAGGGCATTAATCAGAGAGGCAACAAAGAGACCAAAGATAACCCTGAAGGAGCTGCAAAGCTCCACAGCGGAGATTGGAGTATCTGTCCATAGGACCACTTTAAGCCGTACACTCCACAGAGCTGGGCTTTACGGAAGATTGGCCAGAAAAAAGCCATTGCTTAAAGAAAAATAAATAAGCAAACATGTTTGGTGTTCGCCAAAAGCCATGTGGGAGACTCCCCAAACATATGGAAGAAGATACTCTGGTCAGATGCGACTAAAATTGAGCTTTTTGGCCATCAAGGAAAATGTCTGGCGCAAACCCAACACCTCTCAGCACCCCAAGTAACACCATCCCCACAGTGAAGCATGGTGGTGGCAGCATCATGCTGTGGGGATGTTTTTCATCTGCAGGGACTGGGAAACTGGTCAGAATTGAAGGAATGATGGATGACGCTAAATACATGGAAATTCTTGAGGGAAACCTGTTTCAGTCTTCCAGAGATTTGAGAGTGGGACGGAGGTTCACCTTCCAGCAGGACAATGACCCTAAGTATACTGCTAAAGCAACACTCGAGTGGTTTATGGGGAAACATTTAAATGTATTGGAATGGCCTAGTCAAAGCCCAGACCTCAATCAAATTGAGAATATGTGGTATGACTTAAAGATTGCTGTACACCAGCAGAACCCATCCAACTTGAAGGAGCTGGAGCAGTTTTGCCTTGAAGAATGGGCAAAAATCCCAGTGGCTAGATGTGCCAAGCTTATAGAAACATACCCCAAGAGACTTGCAGCTGTAATTGCTGCCAAAGGTGGCTCTAAAAAGTATTGACTTTGGGGGGGGGGGGGGGGGGGGGGGGGGGTGAATAGTTATGCACGCTCAAGTTCTGTTTTTTTGTCTTATTTCTTGTTTGTTTCACAATAGAAAATATTTAGCATCTTCAAAGTGGTAGGCATGTTGAGTAAATCAAATGATATAACCCCCCAAAAAATAAATTTTAATTCCAGGTTGTAAGGCAACAAAATAGGAAAAATGCCAAGGGAGGTGAATACTTTCGCAAGCCACTGTATACACTTATTGTTTTGCACTATCAGAGCCATGCCAGGGTTGTAGCTGCTAAGACGCAGAGTTCCCCAGCTTTGAGCATATTCAGGTCCATCAGGTATCACATCAGGCACAGCCGTACCATGGCACGGCCGTAACTTGTTGAATGTTGTTCTGTTGTTAGCCTGGGCTTGCAAGGGACATTTTCATGTCCTTCAGGTGGTAGAGGTGTCTGTTGAGGAATTTACCCTAGAGCAGGGCTCTCCAGCCCTGTTCCTGGAGAGCTACCCACCTGTAGGTTTTCACTCCAACCCCAGTTGTAACTAACCTGATTCAGCTTATCAACTAGCTAATTATTAGAATCAGGTGCGATAGAATAGGGCTGGAGCAAAAACCTAAAGATCTGGGATTCACTAAACAAACTGTACTGAGTAGGCCTAAAAGCAAGGACCATTTCTTCATGAGGATAACATTTGATATGTTGACTGTGTCTCAATAGATTTGTGGTTATGTGACATAACATTGCAACTGCTCAACCTGACAGACGTGACTTGCTAGTTTCAAAAGCAATTAAAACCTGTAATTTTCCTCATACAGTATATCTTATTGCCATTACCAAAATGTGTGGGCTGGGGACTGATATAGTATAAAGCTAACATCTG